TGAACTATCATTCTGAATTACAATTAAAAACTAGTCATGCACTATGTCCATGTGATTAACATAAACAGTGGGATCCTTTTTAGCCGGAATATCTCTAATTAAAATAAGTTGAAGTAAGGGGAATATTGATAAATTTAAAACGTAATGGCTGAAATTATTTTGTTTAGATAGAGGTGGTTTTGTTTAGAATGACTTTGTTATTTCTTGTTGGCAGATAAGAAAAGGAAGGAAACAAAGCACCAAATATATTTGGTCGTCAAACCGCCCCTATCTCCACAAGGACAACCAGCCTAATAAGCTACGTCATTGTATTATTATCTAGTAATTGGATACATAAAACCCAAACATCATAAGATGAGTAAATGATGAACAAAATAGCAATAAAATATAGGAGCATATAAGAAATTATCAATTCTATTTCCTACACTTATGACTATGGCTGAAATTAAATGAGAACGCAGGCCAAAGAAACTGTAGTAAACCTTCATCAAAGGATAAACTCGACAATAACCACATATGCCAAATCATTATATTTTTGTTCCTAACAAAAAAAAAAGAAAAAAATATATATTTTTTATGTTCCTGACAAGTCTCATATCAGAACATATCCAAAGAAATGCAAGCAAAAAATTTCAATAATACATGTGATATATGTAAGTATATTTCAATATTCTGATAATATCTATAAATAAATGAAAGATTTCAAGATTTACACCAGATAGCGTAAGATGTCTCTAACAAGCGAAGATCTTCTAAAATGTTTCTTAAGTTTCAATGGACCCATACAGATTTGTGGTTATGTCTCTTTTAGTTTTCAAAGGTTCTCATGGTGCATGCCATGTGATTTCTCTTTGATGTTGTACTGCTATAAATTAAAAAGGGGATGTGTCTTATAACTAATTCACTTTCTCTCAACTAGGCATTCTATAATGGTTTCTTAGCCAGCATAGGCATTGATGTTTTGTAACCGTTGATTAGTGTGTGTACCTCCAATTTTTTGGGACCTCTTGTAATTATGAATTGAACACAACACCATGATTGAAGTGTTGTGCTACTACAATCTCAGCCTGTTGACCAGGAGGAAGTGTAGAGGACATCTAACAAGACCACCAAATTTTGTTAGGTTTAAAAGGAAGAGAATGAGATTTAACCATGTCGATTCATTCTCTGGTGAAACGTCGACAATATAGTGGTGGCAAAATCCTAGTGTTAGAATAAGTGATTCACATTTAATATATGAAGAAATCCACCAAGTTCAAAAATAATAGGTCAATTGTTGGAGCCATACATGCCTTCTGGATGTAAACCCTAATTAGGGTTGTAACACTACTTTTGGTGTGAAATAAAAACAAGGCAATCACTTCCTCGTGAATAAAGGTAAGTTGTCAAACTATGTAAAATTCTTGTGTTCATTTTCTATTTATTTAATTATTCATCGTACACAAATCACAACATAATAGAAGCTAATGAGTGTATTTTTTTAATTTATACCAAAAATGGTAATTCCATTAATTGTTATGCTTTAAGTTCTAAAGGGGCTATATGTGTAGATTTTAGGAGAAAACTAAACTATAATTTCACAAAAAAAAAAATGGAAGCAGCACTGCCGTTGTTAGCGTCCTCCTTTGGCCGCATCCTATCCTTACGGTACTTTTGCTACGAACCTTCTCACAAACAGATAATACTTAAGCAACCAAAAGAGAATGTATGTCTTGGTCGGTGCCCTAAAAATTATCGTTTTTTATCTTCAATATAATTCATATATTCTAAGAATTCCGTGTTGGTTTTTTTTTATGAAGTCTAATTTGTATGTGTGATTCAGATGATGACCTGACTCGAAGTAATGTTGTGTGATTTTTTAATGAAAAATTTTCTGAGTTTAGCCTATGAAGTGAAAACTTGGGCCGATAGGCCCAAGCCGTAGCGCTTATGGATAAGTCTCGTGGGGGTTCGGGGGCAACGCCCCTGAGGAAAATTTTTTTGGACCCGTTACACAGCCCAGTGCGTAGGACATATAAACCCTATTGTTTTAGTAATTAGGGTTTATTGTGGATTATACAACCGCTCTCTGTATTCAACTCTCTCAATAATGAAATCCCTGCAATTTTGTGGACGTAGACAAATTACCGAATCACGTAAAGTCTGTGTCTTATTCTTTCTTGTTTCTTATTGCTTTATATTCTTAATTTGTTTTTCGATTGTGTGTGTTTGTTAGTGGATTTAAATCGTGTTAAATCCCAACATTCCGAAAGCACCGCCAATCTCAATCCTGGATGCTCATGAGTTAACTTACTGGCAAGTGAAGTTGGCAAACTGAGCTTCCACGAAGTCTGTACTTAGTGCTTAATAAGAAGAAGCCAGTGATACCTTCATGATTTCATGCATCTTTCTTCAACTTTTCTTCACGCGTGACCGACTCAACTCATTATTGATTTCATAAAACTTTTGCATAATTTAGTTACCAAACCACTTTGCTTCATACTTTCCCGTAAACAACCAAAAAAAAAAACACTAGCTTCCTGGCCGGTACTGCTGATCACAGAAAGTGTAGTCGAAAGCCCTAGTTTTTAAAATAAGATAAGAGAAACCTTAGGCCTAACAATATTAAATACGATCCTATTAAATAAATGAAATTTTTGACCTCACTAAGTACGACATGACCAATTAAACACGTCTTACATATGACACGAACCTAACTATACATGATCATAAATAAATTGAATATAAGTTGAACAAATTTTGACAATACACAAATCCAACACGATACAACCCAATACCAGCATTGACAAAAATAGTTCCAATGAATCCCAAAAAATAGGAAGCCTCCAGAAAGAGTTTCCAAGCTGGCTGTGGAGCACTGTAAGGCTGGTAGAAGCTAGGGATAACAAAACCCATATCCCTATCATATCTTGCATGAGATATGACTATGTACCGACATTTTTCTTATCTCTCAAGTCATATCTACTTGGTGTGTTGCATTTGGAGGTTTGTTTTAAAAACTGGTCGCCAGACTAAAGTTGGAATGATGGTGCTACTCATTCCAAAGCCCTTTAAAATAAGCTTAACCTTATTAACGCCAAACTCATATCTCACAACCTTTTCATGAAAAGAAGAGACGGTATGAAACCAAGGTTTCATGCACATGCTTCCCACTTTTCTCATGAACTTACACTCAGAAGTCCAAGTGGGTGAGTGGGACACACCATCATTCTTCCAACTTAGCTCTTCATGCAGTTCTAGAATTAAACCAGACTAGCCTATTGCATACAAGAGCGAGCCCTGAACCTGAAATAGGACTCTGTAATCACCATCATAACCGATTTAACCAATGCTCAAAACATATTTTACTTCCTAATCATGAGGACGTGTATCTAATTGGAGATTATTTTACCTCACATTGACAGCAACATCGGTAATTTCCAAAAGAAACTAGGTCATAGCATAACATAAGAATAAGATTTCTTTTAACACATTTTTCTGTATTTCTCTTCTTAGTATGTTATCTATAGAACAGGTGTACTTAAATGAGTGTCTCACTAATCCATTATGTGTGACCCACCAAAAAAAAGAAATAAAAAAATATATTAAAAAAGATCTAAATCTCATTGGATATTAAAAATTGTGTTTGTAATTAGTATGCTTAAAGAAGCATAGATCTGCGCATCCACTACTTGAGACGTTTATTTGATATATATGTGTCTTAGATATCAATAAATTTGCATTTTAAAAAAAGTTCAAGTTAATTATTTCTTTGAACTTAACGACTGGTCATCATAAGTTAAACAAGTTTAAAAAGAAAGACACAAGCCACTGGACTAACTCCAATGGTTTAAAAAGAGGGGGTTTTACTTTTCGGTAATGCAAAGGATTGTGAGTAGATATTTTATGTTTGCTCGGAAGGCGAGAAACTAGGGTTGACAGTGATGAACAAATGTTTGGACAAATGTGGGGCCGCCACATGGCACAAATGTGGTGCACACCATGGGTTGGCTGGAATGGGCTTTGTGGGCCGGAAAACCTAACAGGTCGCAATCCAAATGCTTGGAGGCTTGTGGGGGTCCAGCAAAGGGTTAGTGACGTTGGCCCCTTGGCGCAACTTGGCGCATCCACTCCACATGGGTGCGTGCCCCTAACCCAGTCAGCATTTCCTCTATGCCAGCTGAGCATGAAATTATTTAAAAAAAAATACGAACAATTTTTTCAATGGGCTTTCGGAAGGCCAATCATGGGCCCATCAGAATCATTTGCGGAGGACGCGTCACTGTCACTGCTCCCTAATTGCACTCCTAATTCTTTGTTTGACTATTTTCGAAATTTTCCCAGGAGCCAAATACACCATTTGTAGAGTAAACCTCCTTCAGTCATCTGCCTCACATTCACTCTCATGCATTCTCCAAGTATAGGTTCTATTAGGATTGACTCAAGTGTGTGTATGTGTGTGCGTGTCGCCGAGAGAGAGAGAGAGAGGGGGGGGGGGGGGGGGGGGGTCCGTGAACAAACTAATATTGGTGGACCTTTTTATTGACAGGAGCAAGTGGAGTCTTAAACCTGCTTGAAATGTTTCTTAGGTCAATAAACCACCACCGGTCATCATAACATTTCCGTTTTATTGCTTATTTTATAAACTCAAATAAATTCAGTCTGATTCTCAGAGCTAGAAAATAGGAAGAATTCCAAAATATAAGCTAATCCTTCTTCATAACTTGAACCTACATAATCTAGTAGGACCTCATAATCTAGTAGGACCTCCTTATATAATGACTACATGTGAAATAAAATAATAGAAGGCAGACTTGAGCTTATGATTTGACAACCTCCCATCACATGCCCACGCCCCTATATAAGCAACCTTCATCCCATCCTCTCCCTCCAAACAAATTTCATTGTCTCAAAAGTTCTTCAGTTCAAACCTCAAGAAACAATTTCTCCTCCCTCTCTGTTTAACGTTCTCCAAGTACTTGTAACTACTCAAAAAGCTATTCTCTCATACCCTGTTGCATCTCAAATCCACAAACATATTTCACTCGCACTTAACTAGACCTCACTCCTTCTAAGCTGAAAAAATGTTTCGTCTTTCGGATCACAATGACTTCTTTTCTCGTCGACGTGTCTGGGTAAATGGTCCGGTCATAGTGGGGGCTGGACCATCTGGCCTAGCTGTAGGAGCTTGCCTTCAAGAACAAGGGGTACCCTTTGTAATCCTTGAAAGAGCTGATTGCATAGCATCGCTATGGCAGAAACGCACCTATGATCGCCTAAAGCTTCACCTCCCAAGCAATTCTGCCAACTACCTAAACTCCCATTCCCTGAACACTTTCCTGAATACCCAACAAAGAAACAGTTCATTGACTATCTTGAATCATATGCAAATCACTTTGGCATCAACCCACAATTCAACGAATGTGTGCAATCAGCTAAATATGATGAGGCATGTCGGTTGTGGCGGGTTAAGACTGTCTCAAGCACCGGTTCCACACAAACTGAGGTTGAATACATTTGTCAATGGCTTATCGTCGCAACCGGAGAGAATGCAGACCGTGTGATGCCAGATATTAAAGGATTACAAGAGTTTGGAGGCGAAGTAATACATGCTTGTGACTACAAGTCTGGTGAGAAATTTCATGGAAAGAAAGTTCTAGTCGTGGGATGTGGAAATTCAGGCATGGAAGTCTCTCTTGATCTTTGCAATCACGACGCCAAACCATCAATGGTGGTTCGTAGCTCGGTAAGTAATCAATAGAATAATTTGTATCACTTTGCTTTCGAGAAAATTGAACTCAAAGTTCAGGCTCTAATGAGATTAACTTTATTTTTTATCTTCAGGTTCACGTATTGCCAAGGGAAATCTTTGGGAAATCAACATTCGAACTGGCCATGTTTATGATGAAGTGGTTACCACTTTGGCTTGTTGATAGGATGTTATTGGTTCTGACATGGTTCATTCTTGGAAATATTGAGAACTACGGGATAAAAAGACCATCAGTTGGTCCATTGGAGCTCAAGAACACTCAAGGAAAGACTCCTGTTCTAGATATTGGTGCATTGGAAAAGATCAGATCCGGTGAAATCAATGTGGTTCCCGGAATCAAGAGGCTCTCAAGTGGTATGGTTGAGCTCCTTAATGGCAAAAAGCTCAAAATCGATTCAGTCGTTTTGGCTACTGGATATTGCAGTAATGTCCCTTACTGGCTACAGGTGAGAAATGTTCAGTTCCCCTGTGCTTATTCTTGAACATTTTTGGATTTTGGTGAGGGTTTTAGTAGTTTCTTCTAAATAAATAATACCCCTAACTATAAAGAAAATTCAGACTCCGAATAGACTGCTAAGCTTCTATTTGGCAGTTTGGTTTTTGTCTATACTCGCAAATAACAATTTTCAGAAACACCAAAACTAAATAAATAAATAAATGAAGTTCAGAGTCCTCCTGTGTAATTTTTAATTTATTTTAAAGATTTAAATGAATGTTGTTCTGACTTGATTGTGTACAGGAAACTGAATTCTTCTCCAAGAATGGGTTCCCAAAGGCACCGTTCCCTAACGGGTGGAAAGGAAAGGCTGGACTCTATGCTGTTGGGTTCACAAAAGAGGGCTCTCTGGTGCATCTGCAGATGCCATGAGAATAGCACAAGATATTGGCAAGGTCTGGAAAGATGATTTAAAGCAGAAAAAGCAAAAGGTCCCTACTCATCGGAGATGCATTTCACAGTTCTGAATTCAAATTTGTTTGTCCTTTTGACACATTGTAGATATAGTTTATAAATAACAACATAAAAATACCAGGAACAAAGAAGACAAGTAGCATAGAGACCAGCCCTCTCCAAAAAGCCCAAGTTTTGAGAATCTATGGGCATTTTGAATATCGAGGATGATGAGGCTTTTTTTCCTTGCCTTTTTCTTTGTTTGTTAGTGTTTTATACACTTCAGTTGTGTAAATGATTGTGGAATCAATTGATAAATCTTCCTTCTCCCTCGTTCATTTCTCAGTAAAATAAAGCTGCTTTTAAGGTTCATAAAAGTTTTGGTGAATTACACAGTAACCGGGTGGTATACCCAGAATCAATCATGAAACGAAGCAATAGGAAAAATTTCCTATTCTATATATATTTCCAAGTTCAATACATAACCTATAACAACGTACAGTCCGCAACATTTTCACTCTACAATAAAGAGGGTGAATGACGTTGTTTCTCTGAAGTTTTTTAAGAATCTCTCTTTACACCTGAAATTTTAATAAAACACAATACACCTTAATTTTTTTTAACCTTGGTGTCCTGCCCTTTCCGTAATTTATAGTTTTGGGGGCAAAGTAGAATATAAGAAAAGTTCAAGAGGATAAAATATCACTGGCTTTTGGCCCAATTTAGAAGACGGAAGTTTTGGGCCTTTTGGCTGCAGGTTGCAGCCAGTACCAAATTAAACGAAGGGAATGTCTTTTCTGTCCAATTGTTTTCAACTTCCACATCAATACAGTTATCAATTTTGGATGGGGACAGTGATTAATGCTCTCTCTCTCTCTCTTATTAAAAGAACCCAAATAAGGTCCATCATCCTCAGTTAAAACAAGAAGTGCAGCTTGCGGATGAACCTCATCCTATATTATTTTCTTCCATACCTACCAGAGACTTTTCTCTAAGAATCGTTTCTTTGATTGAATATTTTAGATCACCAACTTGCGGATCAACACCTATCAGCAGGTGGGTAGGGCCCCATCAAGGGCCACGTCCCCCAGTTTCACCATACCCAACCCCTTGTTCGATCTTCTTAGGATGCCTAAATTGAAGAAGTGGCTGCACATTGTTATTCTCTTTAATACAGTCATATTTCTATATTTCGAGTCTCGCTGATTAAATTCCTGGATCCATTCCTCACTACATCCACTATCTAAATAGTGTTCTTCATTGCTTTGGTGTCTCAGTAATCAACTCAAATGATTCTGGAGGGTCACATAGATGAACTTGCCATTCCAAATTCTAGATAAATCTAGGTAACGATGAGGTAGTCCTATCCAAAAGCTTCAAAAATAAGTCCTCAAACTCGAAGTCCTGTTTGAGAAAGCAATATCTATATGCTGTCATTAGTGATACAGATGCATCTCTAATTCCGTGGTCCATCCCATTCTAGTAACTACTTAAGAATTCTATGAAAAAGAATTGAAGGCAACCTGCTAACACTTTGACAAGACTGAGTTCTACAAAAATTCCCATAACCGAAAGCTTATTTGATTAGGCAAAAGATATACAACAAAAGAGAGCAAAGAATTTTAGCCACAAGCTAACAAACTACCTACAGTGAGATCAAGCTAGAATTAAATGTAGTCACTAGCCTTGTTCTTTACTTCCCCAGAGACTATAAACAAGGCACATGGGTCCCCATGCTATTAATTCAGAAGCACAAAAGACATTTCATTTCACGGGCCCATGTACACTTCACTACCACAAACTCAAATCTGCAATCTCAAACGGTCAAACGTGACTGCATCCAAAGCTTCATATTGTGCCCTTTTTTCTTTGGGCTTATTCACATGATTCTATATTAGGCTTAAAGTCTCATCTTTGTTGGACGTCCCTACCAACATTAGCAGATTGCCACATGGGTTTGCTACAAACCTCTCTCACTAGTTTTTTCAAATTCATCACAATGGTTCTACTCCCTCCACTAAAGGTAGCCATAGTCTGCCAATCAAAGTTGTTCCATTTCATGATTTTCCAACTTGAACTAGGACAGTCAACCTGAGAGGAGTATATTCAATCTCTATCTCTAGACGAGATATTTTAATTTACATGGCTGATCCATTATATGGTACCTGAAAATTTTGAAGCTGAGACAGAGACACGAGACAAACAGAATGTAGTTTAGAGATAACTATCAACTAGTTTGAAAAATTCTTCAAGGTCATTCTTCTTTCTTTTCTTTTCTTTTTTCCAGTGCTGACAACAAATGCCAAAATGGATGGGTAAATCTGTGATCCTAGATTCAGCACAATATCATTGCATTATTATGATAATCAAGACATGATAGACTAAAACCTAAATGTATGATTCAAAAGATTTGGCTGGTTGCACAAACAATTTTCAATTCTGTTGATTTTAACTTGCTCAGACCTATACCAATGATCTGAAGTGTAAAGACCTTTACCCTGTGTTGATCCTGCCAAGGTATATTAGGGATAAATTGGATATGAGCCTAACATTTGACATTTTCTGTACAAAATTAATGTTCAGTTGTTCACCCATGCTCACTACAGTCAAATTTAACAAATTAACAGTAATCTTGAGTTTCACACTCATGTTGTGATCTCCTACTCGGCTACAAACTATTCTTTGTGATTATGTTTTCCTTTTCTTTTTCTTTGGTTTTTCCATTTGTAAATGGTGCGTTCTTTTGTACTAAAATTACTCAAATGTCTAAACAATTAAACTTATTGTTTACTTATCAGAGAATAGATTCTAAATTCATCATTGGTGACCTAGTGATTCCTTAAACATTCATATATATAACACCATTAGTTTAAGCTTTGGTGCTTCATTCGCATTGCTTTTCTCACTCTTAAGTCTTCTTGACACTCTTCACCTGTTCCTCATATTGTAGCTTGTTTATTAGACTTAACTTTATTAGCAGAGATTGATATTAACATTTACTCAACAATGGACAGAAAAAGGTCTATTGGGTTGACAAAGTACAGTCCTAGAAATGACCTGTGATCTTTATCCTAACCGGCTAAGGCTTCAAACATGTCGCTTGTAAAGTTATAATTCTTCTCCAAGCTAGTATGTAAGACTGGCATACTCAAAGCCGATCATGAATCATATTGTGCACAAACTGAGGATTGACACTGCAGTTATGACTTATGAGACCAAAACCATATACACTAATATTCTATAGACTAATGTCGCGTAGAAATGGAGAAAAGCTAAAATGCCTTCTACAATTTAACTCAAAAAAGAGTATCAAAATCCAACCACATGATGCATGAAACCAAGTACTTCAGATTTTATTAGGAAAATATGTGAAAATAGTCAGGGAGATTGTGCTATCAATAACGTTCAACAAGCATCTTGGTAATATCTTGAAAGAAGCACATGTACAGATTTATCTTGGTTATTGTCTAATTATTAAAAATAAATTGAACATAAATGCATTGAAGAACAAAATGACACACATTCCCTTGACACATTGTATACAGGAAGGATCATAATTAAACATGACATGCAGCCTGATTCCGATACCTAAAATCATGGTAAATGCAAGTACAGGAAATTAATAAAATCATAGCATATGAAACTACTTACCTTGACCGTTCCATACTCGACAGTATGATTAATTTTGGCATATGTTGAGTTTTTGGATTATCTGCACACTGTCTGTGGCGAAGTGAGTCCTCTGGCAAGTCTTTGGTGCCACCTTTAACTCCTCACCATTATCATAAGAATTGCTTCTCCTCACGGTCGAATATGCTATAGACCTGTTCAAGTCATCATGTGAGAGAACAAAGCTCCAGATAGACATTTACTCTGTAGACGGGATTATAAATTTAGCCCGAAAACTCTATAACAGTCAGAATTACAGAATTCACTTCGGAAACTCAAAAACAGACAGAATTACATGCTTATCCATTAGGTACGAAACAAAACCTCAAATAGCATAACCTCAAAATGTACATGAAACACAACTTCTTAGTATTCATCAATAGCAACTTAAACGGAAGGTGTTATAGGATTACACACCGAACAAGGAACATTTCCGTGCATTTTTTCAGTAACTTCGGAAATGTTTCAGATGCAAAATGACAACTGATAAAAAAATTTATGAATCTATTTCAAAAAAATTATAAAATATTGATCGAAATATACCAAAATGTCTTGAAATACCTTGAAATATTTCGAGACATTGTGAAAATATTTCAACACACCTTATTCCGACACATTTCGAAACACCGCAAAGCATTGTGTAAGAGTTTGAGAAAATATTCTGAGCGTATTGATTTTGATTAACCTCATACAAAATATATAGTGTATCTACACAACCGAAATCCTATACAATAGCCTATCTAATTGCATACAGTTTTAACTAATCTTGTGGTCGTATCTTCTCCTATTCAGCAGCAGGAGTATCCTATTCAGCAGCAGAAAAGTCGGTATTCTGTTGGACTGATTCTTCAACACATTGGATTCAACTGCTGATTCACATAGCTCTCCTTGAAAATGGAAACATTTGTGTGGTTTCAACAGTTTCGAAACAAAATTCGTTGACACTGAAATTCAATGAATGTGATTAAATTTCTTAGGGCCTATCGTGCCATCACGAGTCCTTTGTTTCCCCTAGAAATAAGAACAATGGCAAGGAATCCATAAATTCTCTATAGAAATCATTATGACATTGAAAACCACGAATTAAACAGTGGAAACTTTTCAAGCATCTCTGTCTCGCGTTTCGAAAATGAATAAAATTACTGTGCAAATAAGTTTCAGATCACTACAACGGAATTGCATCCACAAAACATGTCTAACATTCAAAACAACATATAGAAAACAATTAACAAAGTCGACACGGATTAAGCAAAAAAAATTCGAAGCATTAAACTCTATTTTAGTGTTGAGATCTGCGGTGGATTAACAAGGATTGAACTATATTTAAAATAGTGCATAAGGTGGCAATTCAATCTGAATTGGGAGGAAACAGCGGTACAAACCTTGCGAATGTCCATTGCGAGAGGAGAGAATGTAGTATCTCGAATCAGAGACACAGTTTAGAGACACCAGAGAGCTTCCTCTACGATTTTATTGCCCCCAACCGCGTTATGGCGGGAATTTAATTTGCGCCACCGCCTTTTGGAACACGACGTCGTTTGAGGCTAACGAATTGTTTATCAAGAGCTTGGGCATTGGACCCAAAACAAAAGAGCCCAGAAACAAAGCCCACTCGAAGGTATAGTTAAATCATGAGATATTTGTGGACCCATACACTTTTAATAACTTATTTATCAAAAAGTCTAATCGCCAAATTTTTTTTGTAAAGAAGTGCATTTTGGATTAAATGGACAGTAATATCTTTAATTATCTATTTATTGAATTAACTAAACCGAATTAAGAAACAAAATCAATTCATTAACTGAGTTATTATTTAAACGGATATTCATTCCAACTCCTTCCTTTAAATACGGACTGCTCATGCAAGATTCAAGGATAAAATTTTTAAATTGATGCAATCCATAAAAATGTACAATCGTATTCTTTCCATGAAAAAAGGCAACTATTTAAATTTCAAAAGCAACTATTTTCTTATATCAAAATGTTATGATTTTTCTAAAAAGTTGTTACTTATTAACCCTTAAATCCCTAAAAAATTCAAAAACATTATGAATTTGAATTCGTAAAAAAAATGGTGACATAATTAAGAAATAGAGTGACAGTAAAAAAAAATATTAAATAGTGAATTCACAGTGACATAATTAAAAAAGTGTGACATACTTAAAAAATAATGTGACATCAAAGAATTATATAATTTTAATAATAATGTGATATCAAAAGAAGACATAATTTTAAAAATAATTTGTCATAATTAAAAAATAATGTGACATCAAAAAGTTACATAATTTTAAAAATAGTGTGACATCATATACCAAAAAATTGATGACTACTCTTGTAAAAGACCGATGATGGGGTATCGGTGGTTGTTTGAAAAATAAAAATATGAAAAATAAGTAAGGGCATTTAGGTACTGTTAAAATATGAAAGTTTGAAAATACGTACTTAGTCACAAAATGTTTTATAGAAAGTATAATTACTGACTTAAAAGTTTTGGCGATAAACTTTTCCATAAATATTTTTAATAAAGTGTACCCCTCCACAAATTGCCCTTAAATCATTTGGGGTGATTTTTTTCTTTTTTTATGGAACTTACAGTTTGGGTTGACCATGTAATAAGTATTTTGTTTGTTACTAATTGTGTATAATTTTTTGCATTATATTCTTCATGAGTTTGTACAATTGTAACACAGAGAATTGATTCTGCTCTTGATCGGTTGCTACCGGTATCAGGCATGACTTCAAGTTCATTCACGTACAAACCAATCTTCATTTCTTATTGGTTGTTTGGCTCAACACAGTGAAGCAACCACCATCTCTCAAATATTGTGTGCAAGTATTTTTACTTTTTATATTCTTTTTTATATGCATTTTTAGTAGTATATATATATTCAAAACAAAAGGTATCGTTTGCTTAGAACCACTTTTATTTTGAGGAGAGTGAAGTGAAACGGAAAAAGAATGATTAAAATTTCATACAGAACCGTGATATTTAATTTATGAATAATACTACATAAATTTTAAAAATAAATTTAATAATTATAATTATTGATTTCACTGTCAATCTCAATCTCTATTAAGATCTATTACATATTCAATGGTTGTAACCATCAAGTAGACATTTTCATTATTATTATACGACAGCAAGACCCTATTTGTTGTGAGAAATTGGACATTGTTGGCACTAATGGGGAAATGACATGTTTACACTATCTAATGCCTGAAATTTCAAATTTGTCGGATTGTTTTGGCTTTATATAATTGCTTTCCATAGAATTTTTAATGTCCCTTAGACATGCCGTTAAATGTTTCAAATATCAAAAAGTGATGGAGTACCCATATAATAAAAGTAAACATAAATGAACTCCAATATCCACTCTTCTCTCACCGAATCTTTATGCAGAGCACCATTCAATTGCTCTGTGTGAAATTTACCAGAAAAATAATGATGAAAGGTGGATGTAAATAGCAGAAATTATCAATATATATAAAATGAATGCAACAAAGTGCCTCAACTTTGAGCGCTTTGTTTGATTTGTCTATCACAGATTCAAAGTCAAATACTATTACTAAAAGATCCTCTTTAAAACTCTCTAAATTTTTTCATGGAATGGACATTTCACAAAGAGGATCTATTTAAAGTAAGAGAGAATCACCAAGAATATACGATACACACACGTTCATACACAAGCTTTTTAGCTAGAGATTAACTTCGACAGCAATTACAATGGGGGATGGGATTCATTAAACTTCTTGGATCTCGTCCAAGGCATAGTTGTTTGTGGATACATTTGCATAATTCACCCTGTTGAACCGCACCACCACTGGGTACCGACTTTTTGGGTCCTGCACATTATAATCAGCCACACACTCAACAATATGAACAAAACACCCCCCCCCCCCCAAACACACAAAAAAACAGATTTTACCTGATCAACAGCTACAACTGACCCGATGCCTTTGTACCAGTAGGACTCCTTCCTAAGAATTTTAACCTGTGAATGGACAAAATATGATCTGTATTCTTTTCCCATACTGATAAATAGGTAAAAAAAAAAAAGGCATATTTTATTTTGATCCCTTCAGGTATGACCTTAATTTCTCTATGCCTCCCCCCCCCCCCTTTCTTTTGTTCAACAGTCAGAAGCATCCGAACCAACTTACATAAGGGGTAAATCTCTCATAGTCTTACCCCAAAAAATTGTCATGCTTCGAATTCAAAACGTCTGAGTATACAGTTCATCTCTATTACCACTTGAGCTACTCCCTTAGGATTTTTGAGTTTCTTGCATTATTTCTTCATTTCCTTGGATTAGTTTGATTGATCCCTCAAAACCAAGGGTGAGGTGGGACTTTGGTATCGAAGGAGTATAGGGTCATGTAAGGTTATCATGTGAAGGTTCCAACAATCTCAGTTTTATTATAAGAGTAACTCCAAGGAGCTCTTTAAAAGCTTCTTCTTAGTTATTTTAGTAAGCCCAACCCTAAAACTTGCCTCCAATAAATTAGCTATCTCACTAGTCATTTTATATAACTCTCATTCCATTAGCTATATCTGGCGAGCCAACAATAGCTAGTTTTTTTTTTTTTTTTGCCATTTTTCTCATTCCACATCCCCCTCATCATCTTCATCCAGAATCACAGAGGAAGGCTGGTTGTGGCGTCTTCTTCCAAGACACACGTATGGACTTCTCTCTCTCTCTCTCTCTCTCTCTGCTCCCACTGAAACTCCACCAAAATCCCTCTAAAATTAGACCTAAACCCCATTGAAACCCCACTGCAACTGTACAAAAAAACAGACCAAAAACTCACTAAAACCCCACTGCAACTACACCAACAATTAGACCAAAAACTCCACTATAACTGCACCAAAAACCCACTGAAACTACACCAAAAATAAGACTGAAAACCCCAAATTGTCTCTCTTTCTCTAAGTAATTTGAAATTTATGAGTTATTTCTACATCATTAGAATTTGTGGATTTGTGAATTTCTCTAATTGGCGATGACGTGACATGCTACGTATTATTTTATATTTTAATTATTAATATTTAATTAAAATTATTTAAAATAGTTAGTTAAAATCAAAAGCGTTGTTGAAATGAATTAGTAGAAATTGTTCTTTAAAATAAATAAAAAAATATATTTTAACAAACTATTTTAGCTAGTATCCTTAGAGTTGTGTGACACCAAAAACTTAGAACTTAACCCAAAAAAGTTGGAAATTTAGTATGGTAGCCAAGAAAAAAAAAATATTCTGTACGGTAGTCTTACCATATATTTTGGACAAAAAAAAAACCATAGTAAAATACACCAATCCAATACATGCAACTAAGACAGTGTGAAATTAGTAGTCATAGTTAAAAATGTAACAAGGGAAATGTGATAGTTGATATGATAACATAAAATTAAGGGTTAATAGTATTTTTGGTCAATAAGTATGTATTTTTTATCAGTTTAGTCCTCGTTATATTCAATTTGTATTATTTTGGTCCTCAGATAAACAGATAGTTAAGTTTTTAATAAAATGATAACGTATTAGACACATAATAACATTTAAAAAAATGACACGTGGTCACTTCCGTCAATTTTATTAACGGATTATTTAATTACGAACCAAGTGATACGGATTGAATATTTTAAGAATCAAATTAATAAAATTGATATTAAACTAATAAAAAAATTAATACTTTAGGGATTAAAAGACAAAAGTGCTATTAACCCTAAAATTAATAAGGTACAATATGATTATGAAGGGGACAAACGTTAAACAGATACATATATCAAAGGGGTCAAAATAGAATTTGCTCAAGAAATTCTTTAAACTAGCTAATTATTGTTGTTAAGGTATATTGCGGTGATGTTTTACATGGGAAAAAGTCCTACTTAGAATGTATTCTTTGCAATATCATCGTTTTCTAAAGCGAAATATCTCTACACACAATCACTTGGGTCCAAAGTGTACGATATACATGTAGAAAATCACAAACTCTACGCTAACAACTACTGCTATAATCACCTTAGTTCCTCTCTTGGGTCCAATTGGAGGTGGTTTGGCAGCCGGAGCAGGTTTTCCAGCGGGTGGAGCAGTGGTGGTGGCTGCTGGTGGCGCCTCCTCCTCAGCCGATCTCACAACCAGCCTTGAGTTCTTATTGTTCTTGACAGAAAACGATAACACACTGCTACGAGATGTGCCTGTGTTGGAGGCGGCGACCTTAGGTGTTACAACGAACCCACACGCAGCCGATGCCATGCTGCAGCTAGCCATGCTCTCTCTACTCTGTCTGAAAGTCCCACACGTAAGGATTAGTTTTTGATGATGAGATGAACAAAAGGTAGGGTTTTGAGACTTGAAAGGCTTTGAGTTAGTGGGACATCTTTTTCCGGGACTTGGAAGATGATTCATCGATGGAGGGTGTCTCAATTTCCCCAACCACTAGAGTGTTGCCATCTGTGTATCATATCCGGTTCTTTTGGATAATGTTATCCCACGTCTCATTTTTCATTATTTACCATGCATTTTAATCTAATCTACCCTTTTTATTTTTATTTTGTAGCGTTTTTAACTATTTTTAACCCTCGGGACAAGTTTTAGTTGATTTGAGTTGAAATTTAACACTCAATCTTAAATGAGTGTTTTTTTATTTTATTGTTTTATTTTTTTTCAATGATCAAGAGTGTTTAAGATAATTTAAATACACTTCGAATAATCTTTTCTCTAGTCCGGTCAATGATAAGTCATCCACACCTGGACGAGAGTGGTTATGAAATATAAATCTCTCATGTCTTTGCCTTAATGGATTATCAAGATTCAAATTTAAGATGTTTGAACTTACAACTCGTCTCTGTTACCCCTTAAGTTGCCTCTTAGAATTGTATAATTGTTTTTTAATCAACTCACATGAGTTAATTACAATCATTTCATATTAATAATATTTAGTGAAACTGATAATACAATAATTACATAAACCGCTAAGAAAAAAGTTAATTAAAATCAATAAAGTACTTAATCAGTAGGTCTAACAATTTTAGACACGACTTATAAAACTGATACGAATCTAACACGGATTTAGCAGGTTTTTGTGTAATCTTAACGAGTTCAAGTAATTAACGGATTAACTTGGAAAACTCATGAAATAAATGAATCGGTTTTGTATTTAACTTATAAACTCGTTTCAATTTGTTTAACATGTTAACAGTAGTACTATAATTTTTTTTTAAAAAAAAAATTAGGTCTCTTAGCCTCTGCCTCATCTCACACCTCTTATTTCTTAGACTCATTCAAATTTAATAGTCATTTAATGTTTATTTTTTGTCTTTATTTTTTTACTCAGCCATGATTTATTATTACAGAAAATAAATCAAATATGTGTAATGTGTAGCAAGTTAATGATTTTTCGTATGTACTAAAAAATATTCTAATTTATTCTCTTATTTAGCGGGTGACACACGGATTGCATCGGGTAATCCGTCTAATAAATAATTTGTATATGGGTGAGATAGTTGAACTCGTTTATATAAATAAATGGGGTGTGAATGGAGAGTTTTTTTGATATAAAACCGTTCCACTCGACACAATTGTCAGGCCTATTAATCGGTGTTGCGTTGTATGGCGTGGGCCGTAGGAACAGCCCGGTCGCTCAACCTTGACTAATCTGGAACTTAAAAGGGTAAATTGTAAGGGGTAAGCCAAATTAGATTTATTTGGTAAAAAATACATACTAAAAAATATAGGGTTATTAAGTACTTAATTTTGATATTTATTTGTATCCAAGTACATAATTTAAATTTATTTATTTTTATTGTGACATTTTTGCCCTCCATTAATCCATGTGTATTTAATGCACCACTTTTCTTTAAAAAGTGGTGCATTAAACATCTTCTATTTTTATGGGAGAACTTTAATATATATATTTATGTATTTAACCCATTTCATATTTAGCCTTTCTCTTTTCATTTTTTAGTTGGTTACTAAGTTTCATGTCAATACACATCTTAAGGCCTTCTTTTTGGATAATACTAACAAGATCACTGTAGGTTAGTGAATCATATTCTATGATTCCAGTTTCTTTACTAAGTGCGTCTCTAATCTTATGAGCAAAGAGATTAGGTAGGCCATTGACAAACTTTTTTTTCCAAAAAGATTTATTACAATTTGGCTTAAACATAACTCTGGAGATGAATACATCTTTGTACCATCTGAAATCACTAAGTTGGACACCTGAGGCTACTAAGTTGGTCATGGACTCTTACTTCAATGTTACTGGGTGTGCCAATAAAATGTTTGATTATTGTGAAGATGAGAGTGCTAATCCCATCATCTTTTGTTCTGCCAATCCTTTCATTAAAAACTGGCATACCTTCATCATCAAGAACAACAACATGCTTGATGTGGTCTCTTGATGCTTGGGTAAGATAGTTAATCCATCAATTACTTAATACTCCTGTGAATCCAGAGATGATCATATCAACTAATTCTGGTTCAATGAGATCAGATTTGAGACATAACTATTGGCTACCATGGAAAGGTGACTAATATTGTTAAGGATTTCTTGTTCACTTAATCCATCTATGTTTCATTCATAGAGTTTATTGGATTGAACAGAAAATTGGTTACTAATATTTTTTTCTTCAAATTGAAGATCTAGTGGTATTGGTTTGGAATACCAATTTTTACTAGTACTGGTTGGATTAACTTTTGAAAAAGTTAACTTGTTAATCTTTAGGTTATCAAACTGTTCTAATTTTTCAATCTCAGAATCTGGTGAGCTTTCTGGGCTACTGGGTTCTGAATTATCAGGAGTTTGGTTGATAACTGTTATTTGAGATGTACCAGATTTGGATTTTTATTTAGAGATAAGTTCTTCAATTTTTTGAATTGTTTGCTTATCTTTTAAACCTAATCCGGATCTATCTTCAGGTAGATGAATTAGAGGTTTCTCTAATTTTTTAGAAGGTGGCTTGATTCCATCGATTGTAGTTTCAATTTTATCAAGCTGTTTTCCTATGGTTATTAGACTCTGGTTAATGAAATTATTTTGCTCAATCACCTACTTATCAGAATCATCTGTCGGTTTCTTAAAAGGTGAAGCTTTAATTTCTGAGTCTCTGTGTTTAACTAATATGGTTTCCTCTGGGGGATGACTATATGATATTATAGATTTCTCTGTTTTTCATTTATGCTTGGTTACTACTTTTACTTCTGGGTGATGGGTTTCTAGATAATCAAAAAATAGAATTTCTGATTCTATTTTGTGCATTAGACTAACCCATTTTGCCATTATATCTTTGTGTTGAACAAAAGTGAATCTTTTAAAGAACCTAAGTCTTTTAGATTCATTTTCTATAGAACTAAAATCTTTTTTTAATTTAATTATGTTAGGTAAGAATAAATCCTTTTCTTTTCTAATCATGAGTAACTGGTGATCAACTGGTGCAGTGTTTTGTAGGTCACTGGCTGTAGGTGAAGGGGTGAAGTCATTTTTTTTCTCTTCATTCCTATGACTGGTTTGTGGAACACTCTGATGTGGAGTGTAACATGGTCTACTAATTTTTGGGGTAGAATGGTCAATTCCTTTTAACTTAAATTTTCTTTCTATTTCTTCTGTTAATTCTTTATCTCTTCTGGAGATACTAGAATAAACATCAGATTTTTGTGCTTCATTAATTTGGATAGGCTTACTAAATGACCTACTTGATCGACTTGATCTTGCAGAATTAAAGAAGATTCTTACTAATCCATCAGATAACTGTTGGATGTTGTCAAGGTTAGCTGCAGTGTTTTCGCTTTCCTTATTATAATTTTCATTTTCAACTGTCCAAGAGTCTAGAAGTTGAACATTCTTCCATTCAAGTCTTTTGGGGACTTGGATGTTGAAATCACTAGTATTGGTTTGCATAAGCACTATTTTATCTTTAGGATGCTTCTTAAGTGCATGTACATTCAGGTTTGTAGTCATGCATTTATAGTATATCGTATAAATAAGTACTAGAGATTGGGTCTCTTTTACCAATTTGGTAATTTGACATGATAATTTTATACCTAAGGTTAAAGCCATAGGTGTATTCTTGCAACTAAGGCTGAGGGTAACGTTTGGAAAGCAGTTAAAAAATATTGGTCCGTTATGGAGACCAGTCTCTATTATTCCTAAAATGCTAGGTTCATATTCAATGAATCTGACATCTCTTAGGGTTAATAGAGTTGTTGCATCTTTCCCAGGTGACATTAATGGTTTAATTGCTACTTGAACTAAACCAAGGTGAATAAAATTAAAACCTTTTTCCCTATGTTTCTTTAGGGCTTCTTTACTAATTAATTGACAAGTTTCTTCGTCTTTACTAGGGGCATAGACTTGTTTAATTGTTTTTACTTGAAGTTCTGAGTTGAATGCCTTTGGAACCCAACTCATCTTGTAGATGTTACGATGGGATACATTTGCGATATTCTATCCACTCCGGTCTACTTGTGACTCATAATGTTCTTCTTCTTCTTTCTCATTTACTATATTAGGTATAATACTAAATGAAGAACTAGATGAGCTAACTATAGAGTTAGATCTGAATAATCTACTCATTATTAAATCTAATTTTTCAATTATGTAAATTAATGTTTAAGTTTCACTCCATTATGCATACCCCCTAACATATATGATCTCATGATATGTCTCTTGACTCCCTAGACTACCTCACCAGAACTTACAAACGGGACATAAATGACACTCTCACTCTTGAGCGGACAAAGGATGGGTGATAAGGGTAGACTAAACTAAACAATGATTTACTAAATTGAAATAAAAGAGATTTAACACAAGTAAGATAAATCAAATATAACTGCATGGGTAACTATCTAGGCCGTCAAATAACTCTGATACCAAAATACATAAGCCTTATAGTCATAGTAAAAGTAACTACAAAATTAGTAAAAAGACTTTTAGTAAACCCACATACTATGAAGCATCTAGTAAAAAACCCAGAAAACCTTATAAGCGTAAAACTTATAAGAAAAAATCTGGAGACAAAGATAGTAAAAAAGACACTAACATTAAGTGTTATAACTGTGGCAAAAAATGCCATAAAAGCCAGATTGTCCAATTAAAAAACAAGTTAAAAGATTAAATCTAACCCAAGAAGATGAAGAGAAAATTCTCAACATTTTTAGGTTAAACAATCTTCCCAATAGTGAAGAAAGTTCAGATGACTCAAACAGTTCTGAAAGTTCTTCAGACTATCAGTCAGCATCTAGTAACCCTAGTGAACCAAAGGTCAAGTTAGGTTGTAAAGATAGTTGCCTCTGTAAAACTGTTAGGGTAATCACCAAACAGAATGAGGAAGAACATATTCTTATTGACCTAATTAGTAAGATAGAAGACCCAGACTTAAAGATCAAATATATCAAAAATTAAGAGATCTGTTTACTAAAAAAGACAC